CTGGCCGCGCTCGGGGCTCTCATGGCAAAAGGAAAGCTTGCTCTGCACCCAGGACGTACCATGCATTTATTCTTATCAAAAGACCCAGGCGTTTCCTATCAGCTACCGGGGACGGCCGGAGCCCTGGCACCGAACCGCCGGCTCCTCCGTTCCGAGCCCCAAATTTTCGCCCCTTCTCTGGCGAGGCTCTGAGCCTGCAAACGGGGTGCTCTGACCTCCACAAGGAGCCACGAAGTATTTGGAGAAAGGGGTAATCGAAGGGTTAGGGCAGGGTGGAAAAGGGTCTTCCCCCATCAGCTCGGGGGAGGAGAGCGCCCCAAGAGCTTCGCCCTCGGAGCGGGAACGAAGCCCTAGATTTCCCAACGCCCTTCTCCGCGCCCGCATAGCTGGAGCCACGGTCGTGCGGGGAAACGGCAGCGCCGCAAACCTCTCGTTTGAAAATTATTTACCGGAGAGTAAAATTCCTCAACAGCTGTCTACGATACAAATAAAAAACTCTGCTTGTGTCCCCAGCAATTTCAGCTCTGTGGGACCCGTTGTAATTATGAGAGACAGATGCGAGCAGGCTGATGCTCTGCAAACTTGACGTGTCTCTCAAAGTCATTCCTAACTTCTCCTCGCCTTCTATTTTGATTTCCTCGAGACATTTTCGTGTTGTTTGTTGGCTTTCACGTTTTGCTTTTGGCCGTTTTGCTTTTGTTGGCTTTCACGTCCTAAGAAAGAGTTTTAGTGGCGAATTGTGAAGTATTTTCAGATGACAGTTGCCAAAAGAGTGGGGGAAAAAGTAATTGGAAGGAAAATAAAGGCAGGAGGAAAGGAAGCATAAAATGTGGGCTGCAGTATGAACGTTGTGTTTTCCAAGTTTAAGCCAGACAAGTAAACAAATCGCTGCATAGTACCCCGTAACAGAACCACTTTCTCTGCATTTTATTTACATTTCCTTAAATCAAAGGCAACCTCTTGATATCGAAATTCTGCATCGGGAAGGAATGTGAGCACTGAGCTATTTTTTCCCCGCAGTGTTTCAAAGATTTAATTCTTTCTAGGGATAAAGAGTAACAGCCACTCCCTGCTTTCTAACAAGAGCCTTCCTATCAAATGTTTGTCTACAATGGCATTGCTAAACTTATTATGATTAATTATTTTTTTTTCCTTGGGCAGTAAAATTATATTGAAATTAAAAAGTGTTTATGCGTCGTCATACTAAGTAATAACTTGGCACAGTGCGTTCCATTATAATCGTGGATAAATTACGGCGAGAACAGATTCCAAAACAACAAAATCTTCTCTACTATGAACAACATCAAGATATTGCTTAATACACGAGCCATAATCATGTAGTGCTCCCAGGTCGCTTGTAACTTATGAGCACCGTTTTATCACTACCTTTTACTTCCCGGAAAAGCTCAGAAGACAACGAGAGGTAGTCCAGAGCTCACACACGCAAAAAGAAAAAAAAAAAAAGCAAACAAACCCCAACAGTGAATCCCGCCTAGAGGATTATGTGTAAAGCGTGTGAGAATATTGCGGTGGCCGAAATCTTGTAATCTGCGCCCGTTAGCTGTTTCCTCGACTGGAAAAAGATGAATTCGAATGAAAAGTGCGTTTTCAAGGCGCGGGGATCCAGCCTGTTTTTCTGAGCCACAAAACGAGAGATTTCAGAGGCAGCGTTATGCCTAGCACGCAGAGGGTGGGGGAAGTAAATAGGGTGGCGGGGACCCATGTCTGGGGGTCCTTTTAAGATATATTCAGTGAAGACTTTTTGAGAAATCTTAAGGCTGGGCAGGAAAAAAAGCTACAAAAAAAAAAAAAAAAAAAAGGTGGCGGCAGTAAACAAACACACGCAAAGAAAAATACATAAACGTGCGAATTGCACAGAATCAGAGCGCTCGAAATACAGCCACCCGGCTAATCTACTCGGTCCTACGCTATCCATATTTAAGTCTAGACATTGGTTATATTTGCTGTTTCTTTCTTCTTGCATCTTGGTATGTTGTCACCAGAGGAGCAATTTATTGGTCTAATGTCATCTACTTCAGCCTCTTTGATCTTCTTGGTCGTCGTCTTGTTTGCATCGCATTCGTTTAACTTCTTGGGCCTTTATTCCTTTCCAGCAGCCTCTTCTGCCGGCGTGTTCCCACATCGCGGTTGCGACCGCAGGGATATTGTCTAATATTGGTGAATTGGAAGAAATACCCGAAAGGGGCTCTTTCGCCAGCTTCTCCCTTACGCCTGCGAATAACAACTGCGTTTTCCCGTACTTAACACTTGGCAAATATCTACGTATAGCCGCCACCTTTGCATGCTCTGAAGCACCAAGGTCTCAGGGATCTGGCTTTAGAGAATTTCCTCGCTTCTCTCAGTAACCTATATTCATGGGGCTGCAATAACCGAGCATAAAGAGTCCCAAAGGGTGCGTGTGTATATGAGTGTGTGTTGGGGGGGAGGGTGGGGGTG